CTCTTTCATCCCTTAATTTTATTCTCCAGGTATGACCCCTTAATCTCCAACTCACCCTGTGCCCTCTATCTATCTATCTATCTATCTATCTATCTATCTATATATATATACATACATATAATTTTTTTCCTTCAACTACCCTAATACTGACAAAGTTCTCATGAGTTACAAATATCATCTTTCCATGCAGGAATGTAAACAGTTCAATCTTAATAAGTCTCTTATGATTTCTCTTTCCTGTTTACCTCTTCATGTTCCACTGGAGTCCTGTATTTGAAAGTCAAATTTTCTGTTTAGCTCTGGTCTTTTCATCAGGAATGCTTGAAAGTCCTCTATTTCACTGAATGACCATTTTTTCCCCTGAAGGATTATACTCAGTTTTGCTGGGAAGGTGATTCTTGGTTGTAATCCCATCTCTTTTGCCCTCTGGAATATTATATTCCATGCCCTTCAGTCCTTTAATGTAGAAGCTGCTAAATCTTATGTTATCCTGATTGTGTTTCCACAGTACTTGAATTGTTTCCTTCTGGCAGCTTGTAAGATTTTCTCCTTGACCTGGGAACTCTGGAATTTGGCTATAATATTCCTAGGAGTTTTCCTTTGGGGATCTCTTTCAGGAGGAGATCTGTGGATTCTTTCAATTTGTATTTTGCCCTCTGGTTCTAATATATCAGGGCAGTTTTCCTTGATAATTTCTTGAAAGATGATGTCTAGACTCTTTTTTTGATCATGGCTTTCAGATAGTCCAATAATTTTTAAATCCTCTCTCCTGGATCTATTTTCCAGGTCAGTTGTTTTTCTCATGAGATATTTCACATTGTTTTCTAATTTTTCATTCTTTTGGATTTGTTTTACAGTGTCTTGATTTCTCATAAAGTTACTCGTTTCCAATCACTCTATTCTAAATTTTAAGGAAGTATTTTCTTCAGTAATCTTTTGGACTTCCTTTTCCATTTGGCCAATTTTTCTTTTTAGGGCCTTTTTCTCCTCATTGGGTTTTTGGACCTCTTTTGCCATTTGGGTTAGGCTATTTTTTAAGGTGTAATTTTCTTCAGTATATTTTTTGGTCTCCTTTAGCAAGCTGTTGACTTGTTTTTCATGATTTTCTTGCATCTCTCTCATTTCTCTTCCCAGTTTTTCCTCTCCTTCCCTTACTTGCTTCTCAAGATCCCTTTTGAGCTCTTCCAAGGCCTGGGACTGATTCACATTTTTCTTGGAAGCTTTGGATGTAGGAGCTTGGACTTTGTTGTCTTCTTCTGGTTGCACATTTTGATCTTCTTTTTCACCAAAGTAAGATAATATGGTCTGACTCTTTTTGCGCTGCTTGCTCATGATCCCAGCCAATTACCTGAGTTTTAAACTCTTTGTTAAGGTAAGAGTCTGCTTCCAATGTAGAGAGTGTACTGTCCCAAGCTTCAGGGGTTTGTATAGCTGTTTTCAGAGATACTTGTAGGGACCTGTAAATTTTCAGTTCTTCCAAGGTGGTATGATAAGGGCGAGGTGTTTACTTCTTTCCTGTCCTGTGACTGTGAGGAGGGGTTCCTCTCTACAGCCACTACAAGCTCCACCATGTCAGCGCTCCTCTTCACCCCAGCATCGCTGCCCAGAACTGTAACCCAGATCCACACACGGGCAAAGCAAAGGATCTCTGCCTCAGCGCCAGCATAGAGATCCCTGAAATCCCTTTCTGATCTGCCACTGGATTCCCCCTCAGTCTGTGGTCTGGAAGCTTGGGAAGCAGCTGCCCCCCCTCAGGGCCACGCTCTTGGGGAATGGAGCTGAAACCCACCTTCCTCTCTGACCACCAACAGAAACAGACTTTTCCCACTGACCTTCTAAGTTGTCTTTACATTGGTGGATTGAGGAGTCCGGAAACCTCCACAACTGCCTGTGATTCAGTCCTCTGAGGCCTGCTCCACGTTTGCTGATGCCTGCGCACCCAAGCTGTGCTGTGCTGTGCTCCCAGCCCGTCACCATGCACCTTTCTAATCAATTATCCAGGTTGTCTTGGGCTGGAAATTTGTTTCGCTCTGTCTTTTTGTGGGTTCTGCTGCTTCAGAATTTGTTTAGAGCCATTTTGTATGAGTATTTGGAGGGGTTTGGAGGAGAGCTCAAGCAAGTTACTGCTTCCACTCCGCCATCTTGGCTCTGTGCCCCACCCCCCCAGAATTTAATAATTCTTGAGAGCAGAGACTGCTCTCTAGGACTCAGTATAGTATGTACCCTTTGTGCATAATACTCTTTGTAAGTAATATCTCTTGTGTCTTGAACTGCCCTGTTACCATAGTAGCTTTTTATGGTTGAGTTCTTTTTTGTTGTTGCTGTTTGCTTATTTTTCTAGCCCATTTCTGGACTTCGCACTTTGTGTTAGAGTTGGGCTGAGTCACCTGGAGGTGGGAGTCACTGTTCCAAGCTTTAGGCTTTTTTTATTCTTGTTATTTTCACAGCTAGTTCTGGGAGTCTATTAAGTGGTCGTTGTGCTTCCAAGGTGGTGAGATCCAGGGAAAGGTGTGGTCACTGCTCTCCTGGTATGTGCTCTGGTACTTACCTAGGAAGGGCCCATGTTCCCTTGTAACTGCAAGTGTTGGAACTCCTCTCTACCCTGGAATTAGGGCCCTTGCTATTCTCCACCCTGGAATTGTGACCAGGGCTTCTACTTACTCCCTTGTGACCACAAGTGTTCCTCTCTGTCCCGGAATTTCTACCCAGGCTTGAGTAATGGACAATGGAATTGCCAAACACTGCCTGGTTCTTCTCCTAATGTCTGCGCAGGATCCTAGCCATCCCTCACTGTAGTGTCATAGATCTCTCTTTCCTATCTCCTAAGTTGTCTTGGGCTGGAAAAATGTTTCACCCTGACTCTTTGTTGGCTTTGCTGCTACAGAATTTGATTTAACAGGTTATTTTAAAGTTCTTTGGAAGGGAATGTTGAGATATTTTAGCTTGAATGCTGCCTCCACTCTGCATCTTGGCTCTAATAGGAACCTCTTAATCAATATTTGCTATTGAATGAATGAGGCCAGACTGGACTTGATGTAGCACAATACTAAGATAGTCCTTTTAAAATAGTAGAATCTATAAATTTGAAGGAACCTCAGAGATTTTCCAGTCCAAACCATAAGTAAACTGGAATCCCTTCTGTAACTTGCCCACCAATGAATTGCTCAGCATCATAGGAAACTAGATCAAAGCTAAAAATGACCTGAGAAGTCATTGAATCCAATTTTGTCATTTTACAGTTTAGAAAACTGAGACCCAAAAGACAGAGTGACTTTCCTGGGGTCACACAGCTAGTAAGTATCTGAGGCAAGGTTTGAACCCAAGTCTTTTTGACTTCCTGTTCAGTGTTCTGTCCACTATACCATTCTGTGTCCTATATACCACAGTGCCTTATAGAATTGTCTGGTGTGTAGAGAAGAGTAATCCTGTGTTCCAGGAATATTGGAAAACATGATGACAGCTTCTCTTTCCTCCTGAATCATCATCACCCCAGGCCAAGAACAAAATAATAATTCAAAAAGATAACAGGGCAATGTGTGGGCACAGGTTACAAAAGATAACAAGAAAAAATGGCCTGTTTGTATTTCTTTGATTCTGAATTCTTTTCTTGTCTTTTATGCCAGATTTTTTCTTCTTAAAAATTATTTTCCTACAGTATTGTTCTAATTCTGCTTTCTTTTACAACAGCTTTTTATATTTGTTCCCATATTTCTTCGAAAAGTAGTCTTGCTTTACAAAAATGATTGTATCAATCCACAGATTTTCCAGAATTAAATTTTGTAATAACCTATGTCAACCTACTAGGTTGAAAGTGGCATTTTAGAGTTGGTTAAAGTTGAATTTCTCTAATTATTGGATTCTCCAAACAGTTTCTCATTTGGTTATTAGAAATTTGTATTCCTTCTTTTGATAACTGCTCTACTCTTGTCATTGACTTATAGTCCTTTATTGCCAAATACCTATTAGACATTTATAAGCGGATGCCCTGTAGACATCTTAAACTGAACATATCCAAAACAGAACTCATTCTAGCTCACCCTCTAATAAATGCCTTCACTGAATTTCTTTATTTATGTTGAGAACATCACCATCTTTCCAGTCACTCAGGTTGCAACCACAATGTCATCTCCACCTCTTCATTCTTCTCACTGAACATATCCAATTAGTTGCCAAAACTTGTTTCTATCTTCATTTCACCTCTTCATTATATCCTCCCTTCTACATTCCCACAGACGCACCTCTAGTTCAGCCTCATGCCTCTCCCCATCTCAGTTCATCCTTCATTGGTCAAATAATCAACTAGATACTTTCTCTAATTCTCACAATCTTTCAAACCTCTCAAAAAAAGTAATTATGACCAAGAGATAAAGTAATGTCAGCTGTCTTAGTGGTCCAAGTTATGAAGAAAATCTTTAAAATTTATTTTATTCTGAACTTAAGAAAAAAATATATTTCTGTAACATAGTAGAACAGAAACAAAAACATGATTGCACATGACACTGCAAGTCTATTATGTATAACAACTTGCTATTCTTTTTGAATATATGATAAAGTTATCATGTAACTCTTTTTTCCTCTTTTTTTCTTTTTCTCTCACCCTACCCACCCTACAGATGGCTATCATTAGGCAAAATGTGTGTGTGTGTGTGTGTGTGTGTGTGTGTGTGTGTATATATATACATATATATATATATATATATATATATATATATATATATATGTAAAACCATTCTATACATATTTCTATTTGTCAGTTCTTTCTCTGGATGCAGACAGCGTCTTCCTTCATAGGCCCTTTGTAATTAATTTGGGCATTTATAATAGTCAAAATGACTTGGTGGCTCCAAGTTGTCCCAACTTAACAAGAGTTAACAATCCAATAAACTAATAGCAAAGAAGCCTAATCCCTAACTTAGAATGTGCTTCAGGGCTGCAGGAGTTGTTATTTACCAAAAATAAATAAATAAATTCCTCTCCCTTCTCCTACTCCTTTGTTACAGAAAATCCTGCTTCAGGAAAGAGAAAACCAGAGTTTCTAGGAATAAATGACAACTAGAAGAGAAAGAAGGGATGGACCCATGGAGGTGATTTCAAGACAAATTAAAAAAATAATCAAAGGTGAATGTAAAAGGGAGTAATGTACTGCATAATCAGAGGCATAGGAATGAATGTCTGTCTTGAGGAAATGCTTCCATCCTCTCTATCACCTGGAGGAATGGCTATTTCTATGAGTGAGTCACAACAGTAAAAACAAAACAAAATAAAAATGGGGTAGGTAGAAAGATCTACAAGGCAACAAGAAGAAGAACCACAAAAACCTGTTTAGAAGAGAAAACTCAATGTTAGTACTCTGGAAGATTTCATTCCTTGAGGAATACAAATTGTAGAAGGAATAAATAAGTATAAGAGACATGAATCAAAAAAGAAAAGCCAAAAAGAGCCAGAAAGGGAAGACAAATACTGAATAAAACAAGAAGAAAAAAGTACAGAAAATTTAATTTTAAAACTAACAAACAAAACAAGATGAAGGGGAGGAGAGGAAGGAGGAATCTTACTTCATTACTTATTTGAGAGGAAAAAAAAGCGGGAGTTAGAAAACTAGATAAAAGAAAGACAAAAAAATGAATAAATAAGTAGAACTCCAAAACTAAGGAAAGATATAACATATAGGAGTGGAAGGCCCTTGAGGTTAAGGTGGAAAAAGCCAGTGGAAATAGAGTTGCTTAAGGGCAACCATGTGGCACAGGGTGTGGCACAGAGTGCTGGGCCTAGAGTCAGGAAGACTTATGTTACTGAGTTCAAATATTGCCTCAGACACTCAGTAGTTGTGTGACCCTGAGCAAGTTACTTAGCCTTCTTTGCCTCAGTTTCCTCATCTGTAAAATGAACTGGAGAAGGAAATGGCAAACTACTCCACTATTTTTTCTAAGAAAGCCCAAATGCAGTTACAAAGAGATGGACACAACTGAAATGACTCAACAAAGTACATTAAACTAAAATAGCTGAAGAGAAAGAGTACTGTGTTTATAGAGGAAGAAAAAAAAGGGACAGTATTAGAGACAAATGGAAGAAAATAGGAATTTCTCATAACTTTAAATGTTAATGGATTAAACAGTCTCATAAAATAAGAAAAAAAATAGTCATAGATTGGCTAAGAAAACAAACCCCAAAATATGTTGCTTATAAAGAAACACACATAAAAATAAAGACATTTACATAATAAAAATGATAGACTGGTACAAAATGTGTTGTAAACCAGGTCGATGACCCCCTGCACCCCCCACCAAAAAAAAGAAGAAGAAGAAGAGAGGAGTTAGAATCATGTTATTAGACAAAACCAGTCTATCCTTCACATTGGAATCAAAATTATTTTCCTAAAATGCAGATCGTATCATCTCATATCTTCCCTGTTACACCCCCAATCACATACAGTCACTTAATAAACTCCAGTGCCTCCCTATGGCCTTTATGATAAAATATGAGCTATTTTGTTTGGCATTTAAATCCTTTCATGAACGAGACCCTCTATCCCTTTCAGGTTTTCATAGAAATTACTATTTTTCTTGCATTCTGCAATGCCACAAGTTTCTACAGGAGGTTTTTAATTCAGCAAGGCCAGTCAACTGGCTTACAGCTCTTCTATCCACAAGACACTCCATTTCTTATCTTTTTGCCTTTGCATTGGATACTCCAAGACTTGAGTGCATTCCTTCCTCACCTCTGCCTATTGAAATCCCTGATTATCTTACTCAGTATTTAGTTCATGGCTCATCGTCTGTATGAAGCCTTTTTTTTCTTTTAGTGAGGCAGTTGGGGTTAAGTGACTTGCCCAAGGTCACACTGCTAGTAAGTGTCATGTGTTTGGTGTGAGGCCGGATTTCAATTCAGGTACTCCTGATTTCAGGGCCGGTGCTCTCTCCACTGCACCACCTAGCTGCCCCCGTATGAAGCCTATCTTGATCTCAGCTAATAATACATTCTTTCCCCAACCACCTCTATTTATTTGTATGTATTTAGGCGTATACTTATATATGTTTATGTTGTCTCCTGCACTAGACTATAAGTTTTTGGGGGGCAACGAGTGCTTAATTTTTCTCTCTGTATCTCTAGCATTTAATAAAATACCTGGTACAAAGTAAATCCTTAACAAATGATTCTTGATTAATTAATTGGTTGATTGACTCATAAAGTACTTGTTGGTGGAATGAAGTCAAATCCTTCTTTACAGGATAGCTCTTAGAATGCTTAAAGACAGTGATCATATCTTTCATAAGTTTTTTCTTCATCATGCTAGATATCCCGTGTTCATTTAATTGCTTCTGCTGTGGTGTGGTTTCCAGTCTAGTCCTCACATGCTCCTTTTATTGATCCCCATTAATAGATATCTGTCTATCTATCTATCTATCTATCTATCTATCTATCTATCTACACACACACACATATATACACACATACATACACATGTATAAACATTCATATACACACATTTGCACACATGTATTTATATGCACAATATACATGTATACACATATATCAGTATATACACATACACATATATAGATAAATCTATCATCTATCTATCTATCTATCTATCTATCTATCTATCTATCTATCTATCTACCTATCATGGCCTTATGGCAAAATGGTGGAGAAGTCAAAGTTTATCTTCGGTGCTTTCCTGCTTTATTTTCTGTGCTTTTACTATCCTTTTGTCCACTTCTGTCTCCCCATTTCCAGGCCCTCTCTCTTCTCTGTTGTTTTCTAATCTCTTAATCTGTCTTTGGCAGTAAAAGTTTACTTGTCCTGTGCTCCAGTGTCTCCAAACTTTTGTTATCAGATTGGCTTTTTAAATAACTACAAATTGTTGAAGACTGATAATGGCTTAAATCGTCATCCTTCTGAAAATGTTTACATTTTAACCTGGGACAGATTAGCCCTTAATCCAGATAAGTTATACCTGAAAGCTGAGAATTTCAGAAAACATCAAAAGAGAATGGGCAGGGAGGAAAGGCTATTTCCATCTGGATTACTATCACACAAAACACTTTATTGTAAGTATAAGGATTCTATTGATGCGTAGATATTTATTTTGAGCCTGATACTTATTTTTTATAGGGAAAAGAGTGTATTGGGGGATTGACTGAGTTAGTTGGTAGTGTTAAAGATGTATAATGAAAAGAAATAAAAAGTATCAATCAAGCATTGAAAATACATAAATGAAAACAAATAGAAATTCAGAAGGGGATACAGATGAGGCAATTTTGTTATTACCATTATAAATTTAATATATACTTAAAAACCAAATGAAGTCATTGTTTCATATATCATCTTTTTTGTTTTGTTTTGTTCTTTGTATATTGTAATGATCATGTAGGTGATTGCTATTTATGATGAAAAAATACAATTAAAAAAGAGAGGAGAGTGTAATTTTAGAGGTTCAGAGGCAGATTCAGAAGCAGTCTCATAATTGCCATATAATGGCTTTGGAAACAAAGTTAAATGCAGGGCTAACAGCATATCATGTATAAGGTGCCAAGGACTCTTGGTCACATACAGGTGCTTCCAGCCTTAACCTACACACAATAACAAAGTGATCAACAATAGGTATGTATATCTTCCAAAACAAAGGACAAAAAATGTATATGTAATGCAGGGATTGAACCGTGATCCAGAAATTGTCTATCTCCTCATTAAATTCATCTCTTGAATTACCCAGTAGCATCACCTGACAAACTATACTCTTTTGTGGAGCATCTCTCTTTGTGTTGGGAATTTTTACTAATAAGACCAAACACAAAAAAGATTCAGGTATTTTCTCAGATTAATTGTTGGTCTTAGAACACAGAAAAAATAAAATCATCTTCACTGATTTAAATTTTTAAAATATTTATTTCCATATTTAATTAAAATATGTAAGATCATTAGTGCCTCTTCAAATTTATATGGCCTATGATTCCCATTAATAAGAGATGGAAAAAAAAACTAATCAGAGAGGTTGTTTTATCTTTAAATTCAACAGGGTTCAGAAACTAAGCAGAAGCCAAAATGTACCTTTTAACTGGAGAAAATAACCTGGTGCTGACATGATTGCACAAATACAAAAAAGTGCAGAAAGACTTGAATTGACAAAAAGAAATCTTAACGTTTCGATAAAAACGTTAAAATCTAAAGGAACTTTAGTTTCACTGACTGTATTTCATCACAATGATATGTTCTAATATAGGGTAAAGACATGTGCTATATTCAAAGGGTTATTATTATGTATGCAAAGACTCAGAAATGAACATAGCAGGAATAAAAACAGACTGATCAGGTTGAATGAAGTAGTACAGAAAAAAATGAGTGATCAGCGAAAAGAAATTAGCATCTTAGATGTCAAAAGACTTTAGGAGAAGAATATCACAAAAAATATACATCAACCATTATGGCACAAGGATGAGTGAAGAAGGAAACTAAAGTTTAAATAATAATAGCTCAGGTTGATCAAATGCTTTACACCTCAGAGAACCTGGTAAATGGATATAAAAATTGTTTTGATCATGTTACTGAGCAGTGCAACGCAGCTCATATTTTGTCACTCATGGCTAAAATGCATAGGGTTGGATGATGAAATGAAGACTCCAGGTAGGGCTGGGTGAAACTTTCTATAGCAAGCTAGACAGAGAGTAGATGACCTTTAAGCCCTTTTCAGCCCTTTGAATCTTGGATTGGAACAGTGCATTTTGTTAAAACCACAGACTGACGATGAGAAATCAGATGGCAATAACCTGAATTAGAAAATGGCCAAAACCAATACCCAGGTTTTGCTATGATTATCCCTTGCTCACAATTCTTTAATGACTCTTTGTTGCCTATAGGAAAAGATTCATACTTGTTATCCTGGCATTTTAGGAGCTCTGCAATCCAATTCCAACCCAAAGTTCACACCTTATTTCTTTTCCATTTCCTATATTTTTTTATTCCAGCCGAAGTGGATTACTACCTATTTCTTTATCTGAACCCACATTATCCCACCTCTGTGCATTCAAGGAAGGCATCCTCTTGAAGGTGGGATGTACACTCTTCTCATCTCTGACCTGCTGAAATCTTTCTCTTCTTTCTAGGCTTACTTCAGCTGCCACCTCCTCGCTGAATACTTCCTTGATTCCCTGAGCTAAAAATTCTCTCTCCATCATCACACTTTCATACTGCACTCTGTATGGATCACTCCATTGCCTTTAGCACAATGTAGATTTTATTATCCTGATTTGTTTCGTGCCATTTCCTTAAATTAAACTACAAGACCTGTGAGAATAGGAACTTTGTTATTTTCAATTTGCATTTCCCCAGAACCTAGTACACAGAGTTGGAACTTAAATGTGTACTGAATTCAATTGAATTAAGTGACCAACTACATAATAACAATGGCTAACA